CGTTTTCCCGGGTGACGCGCGGGCGTTTCTCCCGCAGGCGCTGCTCAATTACCTGTGCCAGGAGGGCTACTTCCACCACGTCCGGGCCGCGGCGGAGGAGGCGCTGGGGCGGCTGGGCAGCGATCCCGTGTTCCTGTTCTACCGGGCCTACGGCGCCCTGAGGACAGGTAGTGCGGGGGGTGCCCGCTGCGTCGCGACGCTCCGGCTTTACTGCGCAGAAATGAAGCCGCGTTTCAGAGTCCGAATGTTTCCCATGTTGAGACAATTACCCGTGTTCCATGGTCTGTCACCCCCACCCTGCCAGTTTGAGTGGAACTGGTCGCATAATGCTCAAGTGAAGAGATAAGCAGGATCTCTTCATTTCGATTTTTATTGTGGTGTTTTTTTCTTACGTGGCTACATGGATGTGAGTCAGGTAAAGAGGTTCTTTGGAGGGAATTTGAGCCCTGCCCAAACCTCCATGGTGTTGTATCACAACAGATTTGCTTGCTCCAGCTGGTATCTCTTCCCTTCAGTGCAGCTGCGTGTGACTTTGTTGTTTCAATTTGCCTCAGAGGAGCAGACATCTAATACCTAATGGGAGGGTCCTTGTGTTCATTAAACTGTTCTGAGACGTTTAATTAAGCTAACACCGTATTTCCGGGATGTCATAGAATGCTAACAAGTAACCCACGGTGGGGGAGGTCTGTAGCAGAGTGCTAGGAAGGGTTAAAAAGATTTTGAGGTGTCAGATCTGTGCCCAGACTTCCTGACTTAGTTTTAGTCATACATTCCTGTTTTTCAATGTATTGTCTCTTCTATTGATGCTCAAAAGATTCATAGAAGGCAAAAATTCTGGCTATATAAAGAATCAGGAGAAAGGAAGAGCTGCTTAATGCCCTATACAAAACTTAATAAATATTATTTTAATCTATAGCATTTGGCAGAACTAGCACATCACTCCTTTCAAATTCTCTGCAATGAGATGCCTTTTACTTTCTGGTGTCTGTTTGAAAGACTGGCACAAACTAGTGAAAATAGATATGTGAATAATGAAGTTATGAAGAAAGTGCTGCCAAAAACACTAAAGAAAAAAGAGAGGGAAATATTTAAGTCAGATTGAGGTTTGATGCTGATATTCTCTGTATTGAAATGTTACAGCCTATTCTGCACTTTTTCCCTAGGTGATGTCCAAGAGGGCATTCGACAACTGGAGTCTATTAAAAACAAACAGGAAGTGTCACTTTGTACAATGATGGCTCTGATTTATGCCCATAAAAAGAGCCCTAATCCAGGTATGCTCAATAAGACAATAGTGCTTCATGTTTTAAACAGCTGTATGTTAGATCTGAGATGTGTAGACTAATTCTACCTAATTTAAAAATGTATATTCCAGCTTTGCATTTGACAGAGTATCTAGTACTGACTTGAGTGACACTTAACAGAATTGTAAACAAAAATACCAAAACACAAACCTGTGAAGAGTAAGACAGAATGTTAAAACAATTAAAAAAAATATATATTAAAAAATCTGATTTACCTGCCATCATGAAAAATCCATTCTGGAAAAAAAATAATAAAATTGAATCTTCTTCTGTTTGTTTTTCACTGTAGTCTGATATCAGGACTTTTTAACAGAACTGCAATTTAAGAAGTTATTAAAATCACTCCGTTTATATCTTTCAAGTTACCCAACCTTACAAATGGAGAAAAAAAAATTTGTGAACATTGGTATTTTTCCTATCTAGAACT